ATTATGTGAAATAATATATCACTGGCTCTCAATTGTAAAAGTTATGAATTGCAAGGGTAAAACATATTTGAATAGGGATTTGGCACTTGCAGTCAAGTGGTTTCATTATTTCAGTGATTTTTCGTCGATTTTCAGTTCAATAGATGGACGTTGTGATAATTATACTATGTGAACAGAATCTTTATTATAACTATTCGTTTACCGCGCGATCTACAAATATTTCTTCAACTCAACCGTTTGCTATAAAACCTGTACAAAATAGCTGATTAGACTTCTAATAAGAAAAATACATCCACCATGTGATCTTGTATTCAATCATTGATAAAAGTGATCATATTCCGTTAAGTTACACAAGCGAACAAATTCTTTTTACTAGCAAGATTCATCTGCTATGTGGCTTGCAGTTATAGCTCAGCTTCAAATCTTTTACTTTGAGATAAGCATAATGCTAAACAAAATCTTCCTCATCACATTCGTTCGCTTACCATATGATGTTCGATTGAAATTCATATGACAATAGACGATTCAAAAATGAGTAATATAAGTGAACGAAATTCTGATAATTTTGATTCAATTATTCTGCAATCCTTGAACATTTCATCAAACTGACCCTTTTTCTTAGCAACGATCAACATGTATGAGCAAGACATTGGTCTTTGCAATTGTGGTTAGAAAAAGTGACACGTCTCGTTTCGCTTCTAATCAAGAAATTTTTGAGCAGGTCATGTTATCACAGTGTCTATTTAATGAATAATAAATAAACATCAAAGTTGTCTATTGAGAAATTCTCTACTGAAGTCACAGCGAAGAATAGAATAACTTCTGATTTCAGGCTACCGTTGAAAGCATTGAAGCTGTTCTTCTTCTGCATCACTTGTTAATAACCCAAAAAGACCAGCGAAGATTTGTCACATTCATCAGAGACAAGCACAAAATAAATCCAAGTGATCTGCATATGCTACAAATACAATTCGAGAACGAAAATATCTATCGGAATATTGAGTCTCGTCGAATAAAGTTTAGAAAAAATCTGAAATGTGGGTGTCTCTTCTTATCTAGCATCCACATCCACCCACACCCTCCTTTTGATCATTGAAAACTTACTATTTTATCTAAATTATCGCCTCTCTTACTTATCATCATTTAACAAATATGAGATGCATCACAGCCTATTAGTATATATGAGAAATATTGTCACGTATTAATGCCAGGCCCGATGATGATGAAATAAGTTTAAATGAATCTTTTTTATTTATAAAAGACAAAAGACACTAAAAGTACAATTGTATGTAACAGTATGTAACTCTTATATCTACTATAGCACGAATGATCTCGTATGATGTCTTACTTGAATTTCCGAACGCTTGTATCATTTTCTGTTGATGGATATAGAGGAGGTATAGAAGATACTGAAGATATTGATTAATAAGGACAGCTGATCATTCAATAGCATTTGAATTAAAACATCTATTCATAAAATATATTGGTGCCACTTGCCCAGCTCTGCTCAAAAAAAATCAATTCCTACACCTCCTTATACGTCGTTATACCTCCTCTATATCCATCCACAGAAAATGATACAAGCTTCCAGAAATTCAAATGAATTTTCGGAAACTTCAAATAAGGCATCTAATCAATGATCTATGCTATAAATACACACGAAGTGTTATGCTGGGGAAAATTCCGATATTAGTTAGAAGAAACTACATGCATGTATATGAACGATAAAACTAAGGAAATGCCAACATAAATGTATAATGATGATAAATGGAAAATTCCACGTGGTATTACATCACATGTAGATACTCGAGGAAGAAAAGTATAAGAAGAAAAAAAGAAATTGATTGTGTCTATGTTCGACTAAGTGACGAACGAGAATCAAAAACACCTGATGTAATCAAATGATATCGCTGGAACAAAAACATTGACACATGCTTGGAAAAAGCCAACCAAATAAAGAGAACAAAAATGTACCCAGTAAAAGGGCTATATCATATATATAAGAAGCTACCAATTCTATTGAGATATTATCAATCTATATTTGACACAGAACACAACACAATATTCTCCTACGCATTCATCTTTTATTTATTTTTTTGCAATATAAAAAACTATTAACAGATCAACCGATACAATATCAGTATTACGATATCTCATCTATCAGTAAGTTAAAAAAACTACAAGCTACAAAATTCTATATAATTTCGTACAACTTCAGAAAACAACGATGATATGTAATAAAACTTAGATATTTCCTTCTGTTTCATCATTATACAACAGACTGATTTGTAGTGAATTGAGTGCACGTCAGTCTATATTTTGTTTAACCATTTTCAATATTACACTTCTACTCTTTATTAAGATCCTTATCAGTCTTCTTCTTTTTTGATGTTTCTATCGATTACAACGTTCGTCAATGGTACATCCTTGAACTGCCCACCACTAATGTCATCATCTCTCACTCTCTTCTCCAGATGCATTATCATAGGGCTTTCATGGAATCATTTTGAACAAATACAATAGATTAGCTGAAGAACCACTTTTTGATCGAAAAAAATCCACCCTGAAAGAACTGATTAGTCATATTCTGCTCTTCAATGAAAAAAAGGCATTCATTTCTACAAAGGTTTTGCACATCAAAAGGAATTCGAAATCTCATTTTACTTTCTGTATTGAATGAATAGTAATATAAACAACACCGAAGAAATTTAAATAGTTATGTACAGGCAGATGTATTGATAATAGCTTCAATCGTGCATTTCATTTGTCCTTTCATCGAAAAATTTTCTACTAAAATTAAGAACAAGAATTTCGTACTTCCTGTCAAACAACATCTCAAGGCGTGTAATAAACTGCGATATTTAAGAAGGGAGCTTTTTTTATTTGTTTCATGTGATTAATTTGATTTTATAGATTCAAGCAATCTTTTGACCTTGAAAATTTTTGATCCAACTTGTTCAAACCTTCTTAAAATTGGTTGTCATGTAACAGAATTGGTATTTTAAGAGTTGTTCGACATCCTCTGGATCATTTTGATGCTTAAATCGTCCAGGGGACTCATCTTAGCTTGATAGTCATCATCATCAAAAGGCTAAAAACGTAATCAAGAGGGATAACATTAACATTTGAAAAGATTATATAATATTGAATTATTCATTATTATTCATAATTGTTTTTGCATAATTTCATAAATTAAATATCAAATAAATCTGCATGTGTCAGTTAGGTCCAGGGGGAAAAAGCAAATTGTGAGTTTGTGATTTAAAATGAATTTACTTGAGTTTTATGATTGAAAATGAGTTTGTGTGAATTTTCTGAGTTAAAATGAGTTTTTGTGATTTAAAATGAGTTTAAAGCTGATTCAAATCGGCTTTAAACTCATTTTAAATCACAAAACTCACATAAACTCATTTTAAATCATAAACTTACAGCTCGCCGTTTTCCGATTTATAGCGAGTTACAAATGACTTAAAGTGATTTTTGTGATTTAAAATAAGTTAAAATGATTTTCGTGATCTAAAATGAGTTTACTTGATTTTTGTAATTTAAAATGAGTTTAAGGCTGATTAAAATCAGTTTTTTCCCCCTTGAGTTAGGTAGTTTTGCTTTATCAGCTCGACTGATGGTGATGATAACGATAAAACTACGCATATACAGAGTTGGTATGTATTGATATAGTCACGAGCATACCTATCTGTGAACAAAATTTCAGCTCAAAATAACATCATTCGATTTGTTGGTACATACCTAGCTATAGGCTGAAATGGTCATAACTTTAGATGGAAGGTCCAAAGGAACGTATCCTTTTGGGGTTTTTCATACTTCACTGGGATCTACTTAATGCATAGAGTCCGAACTCGAAAACGATTTATCACTTGAGAAGCTTCCTTCGAGGGTGAGTGTGGGGTGTGAATGTGAGTGGGAGTGTATGGATATCTTCAATCACACCTACACCCACATCCACATCCCCATCCTTATGGCGTATGAATGAAAATAAAGCTTGGAAAACCGATACATATAAATCAATTCGAGTTTTGCATATGATCAAACTGTTTTTTTTATTTTAATTCAATTTAAATTAAATTATTGTAAAAATGATCGATTTTGGATTTTAACAGTTCATCCAATATTAAATTTATTTTGCTGCTGGTTAGATTCTTTTCGTTTTCAAAATTAAAAATAAAATATAATAAAATATTTGTTTTTTAGGTCATGATAATGAAATGATCGTATTTAAATAGGAACGTGAACGACCAGTTTACGCTTTTGTTGGAAATCTTGTTTATTATATTTAAAGAGAAATATTTACGACGATTAGAAATCATAACATCAAAAGATGTTCCTCTTATGCAATCACGAAGGTAAATTTTCTAAGAATTTTTAAAATAGATTGTTTTATTTTATTTAAAAAAAATGTTAGCGGTCCGCGTGTACCATCTCAATCAGATAATTCTATTTATAATCTTTATACTATTTCAAAAGATGCTAGTGAATCAACAAGTTCAACATGAACTCCGGATGGTATGATGTATTCGAAATGAAAACAATTTTAATAGATGACGATTCTGATTTCTTCCATAAACATTAAATTGAAAGTCAGTTTTATTCTTATTAGATATCTTCGAATATGAGAAAAAAATTAATGATTCACCTTAAAAAAGTCTGACATTTTGATAAAAGAGAGATATCTTATCTAAATTGTTCGATAGTTTAAATCTATATTTTTCTTTTCCAGAAGTTGAAGATTGTCGTTTGTCTGATTTAAATACCGCGTATGGGCTGCTCGAAATCAATCTGTTGTCCTTGAGAAAAATCATGTTGTAAGTTTAAATTTTTTTTGATTAAATTTTTTATGGTGGTATATGTCTTTTATTAATTCGTGAAAATTATCATATTAGTTTATATGATGCTCAACAAAAACGTTCATTAACAAATGTAAGAATAGGCAAAGCTAAATATGCAATATGGTTAAATAATATGAATTACTTACTATTATTAGGATGCTTCAGGGTATTTTTATTTATACAACATCAAATGATATTAAATATGCACTCATTAATGGTGATCATGAAAGTATTTGTACACTTAATTTACCTATTTATATAGCAAAAGTTAAAGTAATAGAAAATACGATGAAGTAAAATTTACAAATTTCTTTTTTGAAAAATCTTTTAAAATATGTCATATGGTTTGAACAGAAAAATTAGTCGGACAAGGCATTATTACTTATCTTCAACAGAAGAGTGATCCAGAAATTGCACTTCATTTTGTAAAAGATAAAAAAATAGGGTTTGGATTAGCACTTGAATGTGAAAATATTAATGTAAATTAATTGTGGTTTTTTGTTCTTTGAAAATTAGTTTCAATTATTTTTGATTGCATTGGAAGCTGCTTGACCTTTAGATGATAAACGTTGTTAGAAAAAATTAGCTTTCCTTTATTTAATTACGAAAAATTTTGGAAAAATGATGAAAATTAGTTTGAAAAATTTCTTGTTGTTTATATTTTGTTTTTGGTTTAGCTGAAGTACGAAAAGATGTTAGTGGACTATTTCAAATTACAATGTTATATGGAGATGTTGAAGAACATATTAAAGTTCTTAGACAATGCATTCAAAGTAACATTTGAGATTGTTCTTTTTTTCTAAGAGAAAATTATTAAATTCGTTTCGTTTTTTATGCACTAGAATCACTTGATGAAAATTGATATTAATTAGAATGTAGATTTTAAAAAAATAAGAAGACTTTTCTTATTCTATTTCAAAATGGAATAAGCCGATAGGCTGAGACTTCAATCAAGTTATTATTACTTATTCTTTGTTTAATTGATGCGTTAGATATGAAATAATAAGATAGACATACATTAATCAATATTAATCTTGAGTTAAATTTAATAATTCAAAATAATATATTTATTTCTTTTAGTTACCTAAAATAAATCCAAATGCGGAATTAATTTTACCACCATGTTTAATAAGTCAACAAGAATCGAATTGGCCATTATTAGCTGTGTCAAAAGGATTTTTGAAGGCGTAATGATCAAAGGAAGTCAACCAACTACAGCAGATTTAAGATCAAATATAACAACAAAACTTGCTGTAAATCTTCATATTGATGAAACAGCAACAAGTGGTGGAGATTGGACTCATCATGAAGTACAAATTGAAGGTGATAAAGATGATCTTAATAGAGAAAATCTTAATAATAATCAAGATAAGCAAGATGATGGTAGAGGTGATACTGAAATTGAATTACCACTTGATCTTGTATGTTTTTATTCAAATATGTATTTGCGTTCAGGTACAGCTTTTACAGTACTTCCATCATTACCATCATTATATGCATGCTTCATTAAGAAATTGGTTTGTATTTATTTGTTTATTTAATAAATATTTTAAAATTTTTATTTTAATTATTAAGGTGTGAAGCCCATTCACCAAAATTATTTTATCCAGCAGTTGGACGTTTTCAAATCGCTTATCGTTTAACAACAAATAGAAAATTTGGAGAAGTTGTTGAAAAATTTCGTTCAATATTATTATCTGTTCCATGACGTATTCTTGAATTATTTCATTTTCAAACCAAACATTCTTATTCTTTCTCGACTTCAACCTTGAAAGGTTTTAAAATAAACCAAAAAACAAGAATGAAAACATATCTTAAATGCACTCAAGATATCAAATTTGTTAATCGAAATTTTTCATTTTTTTTTCATTTATTTGAAAACAATTCAGTTTATTTTTTGTTAAATGAAACATAATTTGGGTTCAATTACTTTAGAAGACGAACAAAAAACAATAAAAACTTATTGTTTTTTATTATTTTGTTTAGATACGAAGAGTATTAAGTGTTTGTGAAAAAAATCCGATTGATGAACATCCATTAAATTATGATATAATCCATCTGACATTTGTGCAGCATCCTATGTACCACATTTATCGGTATGAAATTTAAAAATGAATCCGAATTTAATTTAAAGTAATCTTTAGGGTGTGGATGTGTTTATCACAGAAGAAAAGGCTCGCAGCCGCACCCACACCCTAAACATAACATGTTCGATTTCATGTTGTAATTTATCTTGATAGATTTGTGCATTATAATCCTTTAATAATTAATTTTCATTTAAAAGTGGATTAAATTCTTTTTCTAATTGTTCATAATTTTTATCATTTTTTTTAACATTTAAAATTTTTAGTTATTACTTTTATATAGAAACGTTCATGTTCAATTTGTTGAAATTTTTCTTGCATAGAATTTATTTGTTAAATTAAATCATTTTTTTTCATTTGGTAATAAATTATATTCTTGTTATAGTGCTCGTAGAAGTTTCATTATATAATTCTTTAGCATTATCAGATAAATTTTGTTGACATAGATATTAAATTGTAATTAATGCTAAATGATTAAGTTCAAGGTTTGGAATTGATGTTAATTTCAAATTTTGCTTAGATAAAATTTTTGACATTCTTTATTAAGATTATTTAAAAGATCCATAGATGATTGAAAAGATATTTCATTGATTATTAATTTCATTCGTATTTAAAGGATCTTCATCGTTGTGTTAAAAGAAAACCAAAATAGAATTTTTCGCTCTATTAAAATGTTTTCAAGGCATCCACGACCGATTAAATTTATTCTGTTACAATGACTATGAAATTGTTTACATGTTAGTCATCCCGTCATGACTAAGTAGCTATGTTGTTCAATGTGGATCCAGTAGGCTCGGCACCATCAGTCATCGAATGATGCTGGACAAGTTGCTAAGGGATGTTTGTCTCGGATCATCCGTTCGACAGGACGTTGACTACGTTCTGACATACACCAACACTCGTAGTAAGTATGTAGTCATACAATGTGTACGGGCTGTTCAAACGATTGAATGCAAAAAGTATGCATTCAGAGTTACAGCTAGTTTTACTTGTAAAAAAAAAGCTATTGAGCTACTTAATCTGCCACTTGGCAATATTCTTTCTTCATTCTCATTAATCCCTACTTTCTTTAGTCGTTTCAGATTTTGATTGGCAATATTTCTTAGATCTTTAAAATTCGTGCAACTATAGAAATAAAACGGTTTCATTGGACTTCTTCTGAATCTATGAGGTTTCGATAACTTACGAAAGATAAGAATTGATGAAATATTTTTATTTGACTTTGTTGATGATTTATATCAATTGGATCCATTTGTGTATGGTGAATGTTTATAAGTTAATGGAATTGTTCCAGTAGCCATATATTTTGGTTCTTTGTGTTCATATTGAGTATATTTATCAATTGTTTCAAATAGATTTATATTGGGAATATTTATGGATTGAAGTTGAGACTAAAATTTAAAAAAAAACAGAGTTAATAGATATATTAAAAGAAACAGAAGAAAAGAACCTGTTTAGTTTATTATTTTGAATTGAATTTGCTTGTTCAACAAAACTTTTTTTCTGCTGGAGAATGATGACCAACAACTATAGATCAATCATTTACGTGATTGTTTAAATTTTCATTTTCGATAATTAGTTCTTTATTTATTTGATCATGTTTTGCATATTGTTCTTTCATTTGTAGGTAATTCTTGATAAAGTTCATTAACTGTATTTATATAAGATTGACAAATTGATTCGTTAATATCTTCTGATTTTATACACCAAAAAACAAATTGCTAAATAAAAAACAAAGAAAATTTAATAATTAATCTTACAAACCTAATCAAAGTTGATCATTTGTTTTTTTTAATGCTTGATAACGCTCATTAGAATTCTCTCGTTCTTTTTATATTTCTTCAACAATGTGTTGAATAATTTCTTTGATTGAAACATTATAAGGATGGGTGTAAGTGTACACAAGAACCACACCCACACTCAACCGATAGCCAACTATACAAAAATATTTTTGTAATGTCGCAATCCACTTCTATCAAACGATGCAATGTCAACAAAATGAGTCATTGAAGCAATGTGTCCTATGTTTCGCAAGTTTTTCTGTTCTTACATAACTTTTCATTATATATATTGTGGTTTTAGTTCTTTTTGTTATAATTCGTTAGAATAGAGTAATTTTCATTACTATTTTCTTAATTTTCGTTTTGAAATAGTCAGAATATGGCGTCAGATAATTATTATTTTGGTTTTGATTATAATTCAAGTCAAGATAATGTAGAAATTGAATATCAAATTGATTTATTTGAACTTCGTCAATTTTCAAAAGCCAAAAAACAGAACAAACAAAAAATGAGAATACCTTCATATCCAATCTCAAGAAAAACTCTCAAATCTCAACATCCATTAATAAAAATTTATGGTATCAATGACAAAAAAACATTAGAAGTTGAACAAAAAATATTTCGTTATACTCGTTATCTACCAAAAAAAGATAAAAACGAAATAAATTTTTTCGAATGTGATAAAAAATTTCGAACGAAATCAGATTGTGTTCAACCCAATTTATCATTTCAAACTGTACGTCCACATGATTTCAATACGTTTCGTCGTCATTTCTATGGCGTAAATCATCAACAAATTAAATCTTCTTTTAAACATCAATCCAATATTGAAATTATTAATATTCGTCTTGCACCAATCGATAAATCTGTTCAAAATGATTTTATGAAACGATTTAATGAAAATATTTCGTATTATCCACATTTAGTTTATCATGGAACAAAATTAACTAATATCGAAAGTATTCTTCATTATGGTTTTTTAATACCAAATCAACCACATCCAACTAATAGTAAAGCACCTATCATTGCTACACAAAATGGTAGTGCATATGGTTCAGGAATTTATTGTAGTGAAACTGCTGATTATTCTTTATCATATAGCAATACTACCAATACAATTTTAGTATGTGCAGCTTTACCGAAACGTAATGAAACTGGCTTAGTTGAACGTTCTCATGGAAATATATTAGTTTTATCACATGTGTCAGAAATTATACCGTTATTTCTAATTGATTTTCGATATTTGAGTGGATCAGGTCTCAATCAACCTTGGTTTAACCAGAGATATTCATTAAAAATGAATGTCGAAAAAGACGCAAACAAACCGCTTATTATTTCAAGAAAATATTTACGAAAAGTATTGAATTATACGAAGGATCAAGTACGAAGAAACAGACGATATCGAGGCCGAAGGAACAATCGACGTAAAGTGCGAAGGGAAGATGAATATCAAGTGCGAGTGTTTGAGCCATTTAGTTAAAAACTTCTAGTGTCACATATTTTTATTGTTAACCAACGTCAATCAATAGTTTTGCAAATTCTGTACGAATGGATTTTTTTATGTATAACATTTTTTCTTCTTCGATTTTGGAATTATTGTTTTTTTGGAAGTATTTTAGTTTATTTTAATCGAAATAAAAATTTTTGTATTGATTTTCTAAGAAAAAGATGTGTCCGTTTTTTTCGAGCACTTCTCCAGTTAATATCATTTTCATTATTTGATGTATTTCTTATTGCTATTTATATCAGCAAAAAAAAAGGTTTATAGCTACTATCAGAATATATGATAGATTGAAATGAACATTACCTTAACAAACACTGTTGAAGTTTTCTTAGT